CAACCAAAAACGACTCATATCAATACCAGTCGGATCGTTGCAGAACGAACGTCTTTCTCTTATTACCCAGTTGATCCATCCAGTCAACCCTGTCGGCCACCAATCTCAAAACAGCAATCCATAAGGAATTAACCATCTGGCTGCCCACCAACCCATTTAAACTGTTAAATTTTAACCTGTTCACCCGTCAGCCTGTCAACCTCCCATTTCGGTTTCTTGGTTAGCACTGCGGTCTTCCTCTCTGAAAGTAACAAAAGGGGGGGGCAGACAAGCAAACAAACGAAACCCGCGATCGACGACGCGGCCCCTTTTTATTTTCTTCTCCCTTGGGTCTTGCAATACGCCGGTTAGCCTTCCTGCAATGCACATCAGTGATTTACAAACACTTGGCCGAATGCAAACTGCATAGGACACCTGCAGCTATAACCGCATCCACAACCATAAAGCAGCGGTAGCTGGAGCCATATCAAAGCCGCAGCCGCAAGTATCCACGCTCTGTGAGGTTGGTCCGGGTATTTTCGAGCCGCAACCTCTGCAAATAAGAGAAACAGAAACAACAAAATATCAATATAGCACAAAAATCCACTGGGGACGATCTACGGGCCAGATTTCCCAGCCCAACACCTTACCACTCACCACCCTCCATCCACCATCTGCCATCCATTCCCCAGCGCAGAGTACGACCCGGCTTTGCCCACCACCCACCTCCCCAGCACTTTACGGCCACAGCCGCGCCTCCTAGGGCATCCTTAAAAATAGGATCCCTTCATACAGTAATAATACGCCGTCACACGTTTGCACCCTCTCCCAAGTCACTCCCCACGTAACATACTCGCTCACTCTCACACGCCCTCCCGAAAAAGGAAAGAGGCAGACACGACCCTCCCAAGGGCACGCGGCCTGGGTTCAGGATATAATATCTCGACCTTGTGTCCGTCCCATTTGCTCATTTTATATCTCCTTCTCGTTTCCCTCCTTTCTCTCTCTCCCCTTCCTTTTCTTTTATTTTTTCTCTCCTCCCTCTCTCTTCCTTTCCTTCTTCATCATGTTACTTCAACAATACCAACAGCACACCCAACAATATCTTCAACAAACTCAGCCTTCTTCCTTCTCACCCTTCTCGCCATTTTCTCCCACAGATCTGCCGTCCAAGTCTCGTTCTTCCTTGCCGTCCTCTTCTTTGCGTCGTCCCTTATCAACCGCCACCATGTCTCAGGAATTTCACAGCTTCTTATTGCTGCCCCCAGAAATACGCACCATGGTCTGGGAGTATGCTTTGCCCGAACCCCGTGTCTACGAGGTCATGGATGTGCCTCATGCCAAACAAAAAATGAACGCGGCCGACGGCCTCATGTTTGCAAACGTCCACCATGAGCCGCCACCTCCGCTCGCCGCCGTTTGCCGTGAGTCGCGCGGCTTTGTCCTCCACCACTACCGGCCACTGACTCTCGGCCGCACCACAAAATATGTTGACCTATCTCGGGACTTGCTGCTGCTCGAGCCTTACCTACTGCTCAAGCGCTTACACCGCACTCTGCACTTTATGAGCCGCATCCCTCTCATCCGAGACCACCTAGCCGGATTGGCCCTCGGCACAAGTTACGGCGTCTACACAGGCATCTGCCATCCAGTCCTCAGTTGGAAGGTCTCCAAAAGCAACATGGGCAAGTTATTGACGGGCCTTGCCAAATTTCCAAAGCTCAAGGCGCTGCTATTTGTCGTCCACCAGGAGTTCCAGTTTGAATTTGACTACTGTTGTGCACCGGCCCCAGGCCTGCCAGCCTCAAGACCAACGCCTCCACCCCAACCTTTTTCGTCTCACCTGCCCCCTCCTCCGCATGCACTACCGGGACCGGGCATCTACTCGTCACATTCTCTTCCCACAGGCCTGGAGGGCACCCATCAAGCACCACTACAGCAGAACGCATCACCGCACTCGTCCCCAAGCTCTCGCTCCTCTATCTCGCCATCACCATTACCCTCTCCCATGGTGGCGCATCTCCACTACCCACCAGTCGTCTCAGGATCCTTCCAGCAGCTACCGCCGCCGACACAACCACCACCGATGCAACTTCCCCTGCCACCCGTTCCACCAATGCGCTCGGTACCAGCACCACAGTCAGCTCCGTCTCGGCCACTTCACACGCCTTCCACCACTCAAATAAACGACTCGCCATCTTCTCCTCCACTCATTCACCAGGCGCAGGCCATTCCAGCTCCTCAGCCGGCTGCACCCCAGGCACTCCGTCCTCAAGTTGTCCATCAGGCATACCGCTTCAAGTTCGATATTGAAGGCAACATCAACCGCCATCCGCGCCGGCCGCACCTCAACCAGCTGCTTTTCTACCCGCTCGAAGACAAGAGTGAGGTGGACGAAAAGGACGACTGGGAGGCGCTCCTCAACGCCAAGAGCAGCAACAACCCTGGCGATCTCGATGAAGAGGATCCCTATGGCGAGTTTTTCGATCCCTGGCCGAGCAATGAGGACTGGCGTCGCTTCCGTCAACGCTTCCGCCGACAGGTTGTCGCTACGCTCCAGGCCGGCCTGGCGACGGGCGACGGTCAGAATGCATTCTGTGTCGACGCTGATATCAACGAGGCCGCTTCGTCATCTGGTCGGGCCGTCTGCGGAGCTAGTGTCCACCGCAGCAGTGGCAACGGTCTTTCCTCGCCGTCGGACAAGAAGTACCAGCAGTACTTACATCAAACACAGAAAAAGTGTGACGGTGACGACTACGATGATGGCTACTCTGGGCCGCACAACTACAACAGCCTCTACAGCCTACACGGCAGCAGCAACTATGCCGGTGTACAGAAAAAAGGCGGCCCCAACGGCCACCGTCGACGCTACTCGCTCAAGCATAAGCTACCTGCCATCAAAGGTGCCAGTCTCCTTTGGCGCTACACGCGAGGAGAGTGAAGAGCCGGTCTTTTTTCTTTTCTGTTTTCTTTCGTTTGCCGACTTTAGCGTATTTGTGCTGTTTACTGTTCTTTCTGTATTGCCCGGCGTTTTGATATACATACAGCCTTTTGATATCTCACGAACGTATGAACCATAAACGATACCAGACTCATTATATCTACTTTTTTGCGACTTTTTGATTTTGAGGCATTATTAGATAGGCGACAACTTTATTTGTTTTATATCTCCTCTACTTTTATATATCGTATCACCGCTCTCACTTTTGTCTACTACTTGAGGTCGTTTTAAAGATGGCCTGCCAGCGGCGGTCAGCGGCGCGATGCAACTAGAAGTGGTTTGCAAAGTAAACAAACCGCAATTGCATACCCCGTATATGCCTCTCATCGTATTAAATACGGCTAATTTCAGTATTCCAGCATATGACACGATGCACACCCCCTGGGCGTCTGAGTGCGTCTTCTTGCCAAAGACAAAAACCAGGTCCACTGAATTTAACCGGCGAGCGCATAAAAGTCCAGCCACCTCCGCTTACCGCCAACCGCCAAAGATTGGCGCCGTCTCGATCTACTTCAACCTCTTCGGTGTCTTCAACGTCTATTCAACCTCTTTTGTTCAGCCTCGTTTGACAGCCCCGTGGCCAATACGCACTTCTCTCTATGTCATGATATTCAGATCGGGAGGCAGTCAGCGCACAAAGAAAGCTCAGGATTTAACTACTCCACTTTTGATATTATGCACACAATGATGCAAGGACCGGGAGATATTGCTTGCGGTTCAAGCATAACCAAGTGGCTTACGTGCTCTTTCTTTGCGCGGCCGGAAACAGCGGACTTTGTTTGCTCCACTCAGCAACCGTGGATGGCAGGCAGTTTCGTTCTTCTGCGACGTCCGTATAGAAGACATGCAACTACCGAGATGGTCAAAGGGGCGTGCATCCTTTAGCTTTTGCTTGTCCGGCAAGCAGCAGCGCGGTCAGAGTCTAACTATTTTGTACCCACCTCTGGTCGCCCTCGACATGCCCTTCGCCGCTTTTACCAAGCCCCCCGGCCATCCGCGAAAGGTCCTATGATGTGGCAATGGTGAGCGAATGCGCGAAGAGAGGAGGGGGTGGGTGCAAGTGTTCGAGGAGCGACCTTCCATACGCCGGCGAAACCGCACCAGGCTTATCAAGACGAGGGGTCAGGGAGGGATTGTTCCGGCATTCTGTCGTGTCCAAGTGGCAGCCGCTCCGTCACCAAGGAAGCGCAAGCCCTTGCTCCCTAGCTCATTTTTGTTCCCGTCTCTCACGCTATTCGTTCTCATGTCCTCATGTCCCCCATTTGCTGCCCGTTCCCACCGGACTAATGAACCAACTGTCGAAAGCGAGCGTTACATCAGGGGACCGGGGCAGCGAGACGCCTGCGGGATGTGGGAGCGCCAATACAACGACAAGTCAGCGACAGTAACCATTGGCGGGACGGGATGCGTACGAGGTGGATGGCACGCCGCGCCAGGAGAGCGGCACATGGGCGTTCTCAACTCGGACACCAAGGACCCTTTTTTTTAGTCGTGGAGCCGGGGTTGCAGAATTTTAACTTGCTGGACATACATCGAGCTAGATGCAGGATTTAATTAAACGGCGAAGTCCTCGAGCCTGCCCTTTCGCATCTCTTATTCAATCCATGGTATAGGACTGTTCCCTTACAGAGGACTGCTCTGCCCGAGGCAGTTCATTTGTCCGATTTGTCTTACGTCATGTGCGCATTTGACGTTTCAAAATTTGGCACTCAGTCATTGCACCATAATCGAAGACCAGAGAGTTAAGTAAACTTTTTGTGTATATCATTACTCGATTATACATGTGTGGCAAAGCCCGTCTTGTAAAGGCTACAGTGTTTGGCATATCTCTTGGTATTAGTTGGTGTTGAGCAACTCAAAGGTGATTTGAATTAAGCAACCTTTTTTTTAAACCCCAAATAAAACCAAAAAAGCACACTAATTAATTAATTATTTTCCGGCGCACCGTCTTCCCCGTCACATACCACACCTCCTACCGGCCGCCGGCACTCCCACCTCCACCTCCACCTAAGGAGGCGGAATGGGCCACCGTACGCCAACGGTGGAGGGCCCGATGGCAACAAGCCATAGATAAAAGTAACGCCGGTATCACAGCCAACCAAACACCATGCTGGACAGCCTCGGCCGTCCGGCGCAGACACTTCGGCCTCACCAAAGCCGAAAGTAGCTTACTAACGCAGATCCGCTCCGGCCACATCGGCCTCAAGGCATACCTCTTCCGGAAGGAAACAGTGGACTCCCCGGAGTGCCACTGCGGCGGGGGAGAAGAGACCGCGGCCCATGTACTCCTAGACTGCACCGACGTGCCACCACGACCCCCTGACTGGCCCAGCACTATTAACGAATTACAACAAACGCTACACACCGGCCGGACGGCCAGACCACTCCTCCGGTGGCTCCTTCGGAGCGAGAGGCTGCCGGAATACCGCCTCGCCCGGGAGCTCGAGCAGTCACCTGCCCCGGGCTTACCGTAGTCATTCCCCTCTTTCTTGCTATATCTCCTTTGTTTTGATTTGTTAGATTTTATCTTTTGTTTCGATTCTAATTTTCGATCTGGATTTGCTTTGTTTTATTTACTTTCCTTATTTGCAACACCTACGTCAAGGCTGCTGCGCGTTACCGCTACATAGACATATTTGTGTATAGCACTGTGGTAGTTTTTTCCCCATGAGGGTTCTGCCTAGCCAGACGCCAATAGCCAGGATTGGCTGAGAAAGGCGGATAATAATAATAATAATAATTAACTATTTTGTTGAATTTCACCCTGACCATAAATAAAATAAAAATAAAAGACAGACTGCATGACTAACCCCCAAACTTTCATAAAACAAACAGTTCATTATTTACACACTCTGGAGACTTGCAGCCCATCTCGCAGAAGAAACCCAATGCGGTCCATATTGTTGCCAGTATATGCATCCAAAAAGCTTCATTACCTGTAAATCAGCAAACTGTGAGACCCTGACCAACATACCCCTGAGACTACGAGCCCAAACATAAAAATATGGGATTTATTTCCCAGCGCTGAGAATCGGCCGTATTTCTCTCTTCTATTTCGTACGGAATGAAGTTTTCAGAAGACAGTTTCGTGATCGAGGTGAGATTTATTAGTTGGCCAATCAGAGGCCAAGGATCCAACGAAATCAGTCCCCACAAATCCTCCTTCCTTTCGCATCAGCAATCATCAGCTGTGCCTGCCATTTCTGAATCCTTGCCGGCACCCTCCGTTTTATATATTTTTATATCGCGCACTTTCCTGGGTTTGGTTTGTTTCCTTTTTGAACCTCTGGCAGAACAAATAGAGGCGACGACATATCTGCGAGAGACGTGATAGAGCGGATTGGAGCGACTCAAAGTGCACTCGCGACGCACATCACACCGCACACAAAACCCGATGTCGCGCACCTCGTCGGCCGTGAAGGCGGTGGCAGCGGCCGAAACGACTCCCCTGCTGCAAGACGCGGCAGGACAAGGAGACGGAAATGGACTTGTCGGAGGAAACATAGACGCCGGCGTGGCGACGGCGGCCATGATCGTGCCCGCGTCCGCCGACGAGGACCGGCCAATGGCCACGACGCAGGTGGCGCTGCTCTGCTTTGCGCGGCTGCTCGAGCCGATTGCGTTCTTCTCCGTGTTCCCGTACATCAACCAGATGGTGCAGGACAACGGCGGCGTGGCATCGTCCGACGTGGGCTTCTACAGCGGGCTGATTGAGTCGCTCTTTTCGCTGACGCAGGCGCTGGTGATGATGGGCTGGGGCCGGGCGGCCGACCGCGTGGGCCGCAAGCCCGTGCTGGTGCTTTCGCTGGTCGGCATGGCGAGCGCGACGGCACTGTTTGGCACGGCGCGCACGCTGGTGCAGATGGTTGCGTTCCGCTGCCTGGCGGGCGTGTTTGCGGGCACAATTGTGACGATCCGGACGATGCTGGCCGAGCTGAGCACGCCCAAGACACAGGCGCGGGTGTTCAGCTGGTTTGCGTTCAGCGGCAACCTGGGCTTGTTTGTGGGCCCGCTGATGGGTGGCGCGCTGGCGACGCCGCTGGGCCGGCCCAACCCAGACGACCCGACCGACAACGTCCCCTTCTTGGTCGCCTACCCGTATGCGCTGCCCGGATTTGTCGTGGCTGGTCTCGGGTACCTGGCAGCGCTTCTGTGCGCGCTGTTTGTCGAGGAAACGCTGGTGGTGAAAAAGAAGAAGACGTCGTCGACGCCGACGACGACGACGACGACGACAACGACAGTCACAGCATCGATTGCCAATGACGACGAGCCCGCGGCGCCGCCGCCGTCCATTGGCGATCTGTTCCGGGCACCCGGTGTCAAGATGGTGCTCTTGATCTACGCGCAACTTATGCTGCTCGCGTTCTCGTACACGGCGCTCGTACCTGTGTTTTGGTTTACGCCCGTCGACCTCGGCGGCTTCGGCTTCACGCCCGTGCAAATCTCCGCCATGATGGGCCTTGTAGGCGCTAGCCAGTCCCTGTGGCTGCTTGCGTTCCCGCCGCTGCACCGCCGCATCGGCACCAACGCGGTGATTCGCGCGTGCGCCATTGCCTACCCGTGCTTTATGAGCGGGGTTCCTTTTATGAGCCTGATCTTGCGCGTCTGGAACGCGCGCACCTTGTTTTGGATCGTCGTGCCTCCCACGCTGGCGATTGGCAGCGGCGTCAGCCTGAGCTTCACGGCCATCCAGCTAGCTGTCAATGACACGGCCCCCTCGCCGCAGTTGCTGGGCACACTCAACGCACTGGCCCTGACGGGTGTGAGCATGATCCGCGCCTTCACGCCTGCGCTCTTCACGGCCTTGTATGCCATCAGCGTGCGCAATCAGCTGTTGTGGGGCTATGGCATCTGGGTATTGATGGTCCTTATATCGTTGGGTTTTACCCTGTCAGCGCAGTATCTGCCCGACTACGATGAGCTGAAGAAGGCGCGGACCGAGGCCGAGGCAGAGCCCAACGAGGCCAGAGAGTAATGGGTGGGCAGCAACACGGCCGGAACCGCCAGTTCTCAGTTCCCACCATCGAGCTAGGACAGCAGGCCAGGCCGACGATGGGTGTGACAGACGGTGTGATACACGGTGAGGAAGCGGGGGTAGTGACAGTACAAGGTCAACATTTCTGGAAGGGAGTCTAGGCCGAACCCCAAGACACATGTTGTGCATGTGGAGTGCATCTGGCTGCATCTGACCGTCCCTGGCGAACATGGCTGTATCAGCACATAGTCTTTGGTTATCATCTTGGACACAGGTGGCCAAAATCCTTCAAAGTGGAGGACGTTGGGCTCGGATGTGCACAGTTGGACAGGGTCTAGACTTCGTCTACGCGTTTATCCATTTTTTTTGCATCGGCGTTTTCGGCTGTATTAGAAACTTCTTTACTTATGTCCCCTTCTCCACCCCTTGATCTGTTGGAATATTTTCATTAGACTTTGATCTGCTTTAAATACCTCTATACCTATGTTACCTCTATGTATTCTTGAGCTCGTCGTGGACTCCCATTGGGCATCCATTTCGGAGTCCAGAATCCGAAGAATGAGCGCTGTGTGCATTTGCCAACTTTCTCAACAGATCCAATGACGTCATCCCACCACTTCCCGCTCTGTCGTTTTCTCTCTTTTCATTTCGCTCTTCCCTCTCCTTTCGGTCCTCTGTCCAGTTCGTCTATTTCTGTCTTTTGTACCACCGATGATGACGATTATTTGCAGGTTATCGGACATGCCTTAGTCTTGGCCCAGGCAAAATCAAACCCTACGTCCCACGCCCGCCCGAACTCCAGACCTGAAGCCGTGCACTACATGCATTGTTGAAGACCACGCGTGGCCAAGCCCCCAGTCGTCTCTCCGTGCGACGATGCTCCTCCACCCGTCCATATAAGTCCACGACGCCTTCCGTCCTCCTCTTCCGGTCCATATATTCTTCAGAGACTCTGCACGAACACAAACGAACACAAACGAACCCATTGCGGCTGCTGGGCTTGTCTCACGAACCATCCAGTCTGTCGTGGACATACTGCAGAACTTCCAGTCTCCAGTCCCCCCTTTCTCCACTGTCAAGAACAGCATCACAAGTGAGTGATCCTTGTCGTCTAGCCCCATTCCCTCTGCAACCGTCCATTGCCACATTGTAGATCTTCCAGTGTTGACCGCAACTCGCAGTGCCTCGTCACCGTCACGGCAAAAAGTACCTCTATCTGGAGCCGCCCATCCACGGTTCCAAGACTGTCCGCACTCGCGTCACCACCATCGTACCGCCGCCTCGGGAGCCAGCACCACCCCCGCCGCCGCCGCCTTCACTGCAGCTGCCCCCGATCATCATCCAAGCACCGCCACCACCTCCACCTGTCCTTCTCCCCCCACCGCCATCGCCATCGCCGCCACCGCCGCCGGTGGTGGAGCCCGACGAAGAAGAGGACGACACCATTGACGTTATTGCGGTCGACGTCGAGCCGGAAGAGGTGAAACCCAAGAAGAAGAAGAAGAAGCCTAAGAAGGATATTGAGCGCGAGACCGTCTATGTGGAGCGTGAGCGTATTGTGCCTGTCCATGTCCCCGTGCCCATGCCCATGACTGTCCAGATGCGTCGTCGCAAGCCGTCTCCACCGCCTGCGTCGCCTGCTCCTCCACCACCACCACCGCCACCGCCACCAGCACGGACGCCTGAGTACGAAACTTTTCGGTACGTTGACGCGCCGCGGCGGATGATGCCCTCACCGCCACCGCTACCGCCTCCGTCGCCGCCACGCACCGAACAATGGGAGACGCACGACCGGATTGTTATCCGCGAGCGTGAGCGTGAGGGGCGTCGGCCCCGAGATTACTACCGGTATTAGGCGTGAAGGGGTATGAAGGCGTGATGATGAATTGTGGTGAATCGTGGTGAATGAATCTATGATATAATTAGCGTTGTTTCTCTTTTGTCTTGTCATCTCATGAACCTTTTTCTTCTTGTCTGCTTGTCTTCTTTTATTCTTCCCATTATGTTTTTTTCGATTTCTCGTCTTTCCTAATGTTAGGGCTTGGTGTTTGTATAATTTTGGGTTTCGTCATCAGTAAAGGTCTGCGTGAAGACTACCAAAACAGTGAGTCAAAATACAGCAGAATAAAATCAAAAGAAGAATCTATACTCTCAACATACCGACTGCTGTGCAATGCGTCTCGAATGGCTCGAATAGGAAATAACAAAACAGCGCTCGTTGGTATGACGCGTAATATCACTTTTAACGTGATGTCTTGGGCGCTTCCGCTTGTAGACTGACTGAGCCATCGTGTATGCGGAGACACTGTGCGTACAATGCGGCCTGCGGACCTGAAACAATGGAATCAATACGTTGTGCTCGTGACCGCCTCGATGGGGGCCAGGAAGTGGCAGCAGGGATCTGTGAGCGGCAAAAGAAAGACGCCCGAAGGTCTGTCAGGCCAGGGTGACTGGAACCGGGGTGCATTGGCTCTCGTGACTCCTTCCGGTTGTAAGGTG